ATTTTCTTACGCAGACTTAAATTCGGCATCGTTTCTAATTTAAACAAAGTTTCTCAATTGAAACCATTAATTAAAAAAATTAATTTAATTTGAAAAAAGTGAAAAATCGGTTGAGAGCTAATTATAAGTTTAGCTGGCGTAGCAGAAACATCGTATGAAGTTGTAAAGAAGTGAGATCGATAGAGCACAAAATTCTCTATCTAGCTACGTAGATAAATTAACTATTGAATCTCAGATAATGGGCTAAAAATCTCAAAAAAGGAAACGACAAAAGCTTGTCGCAGTCAGGCAACTCCGCACTCTTCAATATTTTGAATAGTGCACAAACGACAAAACTGTTATCAGAGATTCAAATAGCAAGTTTTGTAGAGAAGTCAATTCTCTATCGATTGAGCTTCGAACCAACTCTGTGGACTACCGGACAATGCCTCATGAACAACGAATGAAAGTGTCCGATTTTATCTGGACCACCCGATATTTTTCAACCTGTACCTTTTTTATCGGAAAAACAAGTAAACTGCCCCCATAAGGGAAGACCAGCTGGTCTTCTGTTTTGTTCCGCAAGTCGAGTTTAGGGTACAGTGTTTCTTGCTTCCTGCTTTGACGCTGCGTACTGTACACTGTACAGTATCACACTGTTGAAGAACAGAAAGAAAAAAGGAAACAGAAACGTAAGTAAATTCAGATAAAAGAACGCCTTAAATATGCGTTGCATTAAGATGATTGAACTTCATGACAATATACGATCGAGAAAGATTTCCTGTTTCGGGTTATCACCATTTGAATGAGCTAACACTTGGACAAAAAACCAAGGAAACGTTCTAAGCTATTACAGAAGCTGTGGGCTTCTGCTCTTTTTCCAGAAAAATTTATTAGGTCACCTAAAAAAATTTTCAGGTCATTCGGGTCCAAAAGTCTTCGGTTCGGGTCATCCACCTAAGACCTGATTCGGGCTCTGTTAGCGACTAATACTGTCCATTAAAATATGTTTCAGTCACTGCTGAAACAACAGTAGCAACGACATCTGATGCTCCGTCAAGTGCAATAACAACAACTACAGGTATAATAACATATGTATTTTGTTCTTATAATGCCAAAATCCACTTCTTTATTTTGCAAAAAGGTTTGACTCCAAATGCATCAAATATAACATGGTTAATGTCAACAATTCAAGCATCAAATCAAACAAAAATAATCTCATCTAAACCAACATTTATGGCTATTGATGATCAAAATTATTTTGTTGTACTTGGTTATTATGGTAATCTTGTTCAAATGAATAGAACAACAATGAGCGTCATTGCTGCAGCAAACTTAGGAGGTCACTCAGGTGCAGTTACTTATAGTAATGGTTATTATTTTATAGGTATATAAGTAAACAAGGACGCTTTTGTCATTCTGTTTCTTATGCACTTTTTCTGTAGCATCCGATACTCCATATCCTTCTATTTACATTTATTCTACTCGAAATTTAACAAATTTTACTGCTCGTATAAATGGTTCAGCATCTAATTGTTTTTTTCGTCAAGTGGCATTTTTACAAAATAATACCATTATGGTTGCAGCTGTTGAAACGTTGAATATACTTCAATTTTATCAAATATCATTTTCATCGTTTTCATCAACATTTTTATTTTCAATACCAGCGTTGCACATTTCTCCATACAGTTTATATAAAGTGAACGATACATTCTTGTATTTAGTGTATTACGCTGCTGCAGTACCCATCTACATTCTATCATATAACAATAGTAGCAATTGGACATTAACAGCACTGAACGCCACACAGCCTGCATCTTCGGAAAATTCAACACAAATAACAATTGATTCATACGGACGAATTTGGTTTGCTATCTATAAATTTGGTGTGAGAGTGTTTGATTCCACTGCATCTGTCTTACTCTATAGTTGGCCGGTCTCAACTGGATTGAAGGGGATACTGTTAACGAATGATTACGAGTTGTTTTTATCTGACTATGACAACAGCACAATATTGCATTATAAACCACACATAAACTCGTAGTAAACAACACTTACGTAAATAAAATGAATCATAAGTATGGTTGGTTTTGTGTCCAGTGATAAAATACTTTACAAAGAACTTGTCCAGATCCCGATACCCGTTCTCAGAACCTAAATTCGTAAAGTTTTATGGTTTTCAATATATCGTTTTGTAAACGTTTTCTTATCATTTTCTGGCGGTTTACTAACTGTTTACTGTCCGTTTTTAAACCGTTTTATGCAGTCTGTGACCAGGCCTATGCCGTATACTAGTTGTTTACTTACCATTAACTGATCGTTTTTTGAACATTTACTCACAATTTACCGGTTTATTGACCATTACGGTCTGTTTACAGAACGTTAACTTACCGCTAACGGTCAGTTTAAAAAAAATTATTTTTCGTTTCCGGCATCTTCTATAGAACGTCAGGACGTCACCCATGCGTTGTATCATCTTGAATATCACTTATAGCTCACACACATACAATTATAATTGTTTGCCATGTTTGAGATTCAGACATACGTACCTAGAAATATAAATCCAGCACATTCTGGTTATATAATATTGCTTGTAAACAAAAGAGTAAATTTGCTATTTATGTTTGTAATAAATACCATGAACTTCCGCGTGTGGGCTTTCATGTATGAAAATGCCTTGCCACTGCCTTCGTCGAAGGACGGGAAACGGTTTCTGCTAGAAAATCGCCCAATATGATTTTGAGTGGAAATGACCGAAAATGCTTTCCTTTTCACTTTCCAACACTTCGCATTTTCAAAAAATCTTTCTGGTGTCTTTGAAAAAAAATTACGTTTCATTTTTCGCTACCAGTTCAACAAAAGCCATGTACCCTTTTCCGCAAATTTCTCATCCAATTTCAAAGTCCTTGAGCAAAGTGCATACATAGTAAAATAGAGAATTTTCTGGGCTTCAAAATAACCTACAAGTAAGTCTTTCGAAAATATGTCCACATGGGTCAATAGTCGAAATACTAGACAAATATCATCAAGTTCAACTATCTTAGTGAACAAATTCTCTAGTACTGGTGCCAATGGACTACCCATTGAAACACCATCGTCTTGCCTATAAATTAGATGATAGAAATTAAATTGAACATATCTCGATGCTAAATTGAACCGAACATATAATTCAGTTTTTGTCAATTTTATGAACTTTTTCTTTTTATTCTGTGACCGTATTTTGTTGAGCGCGATATCAATTGCTTCCCCCATTGGTATACTTGGATATAATTATTCTAGATCAAAACTAGTCAGAATCTCATTTATGCTACTTTATTAGTATCGAAAGCTTGCAAAAACTTCTAAATGCCGTTACTTAACATATTTTCGATTGTATTTAATATATTATGTTTCTTCAAAAACGTAAAAAGACAAAAAAGTATCAATGCTTTACTTGTTTTTTTCACGGGGAGTTTTGATTTAGACTCTCTGAGATATAGTACCATAATCGGTAGTGAAAGCTATCTCTATATCTATCTGTTAAATAATTAAATGAAAGAGCGGCGAACGCGGAATTTAAAGATGAATTTCATCAGTTTTCCTCATTACAATTTGTTTACTCTCAATTGAACAACCAGCTGTATACATTTGTACAATTAAATAAATATATATCGATTCATCATTATGGCATAATTAGAAAAACATTGTTCCAACGAAAATAATTAATTATCTACCTCCTGTAAAGCGTGAAAAAAAATGTATTTCATCCTCGATGGCAGAAGTGATGAATTATATTATATAGTTCTTTTTTATCGCATATCAAAGAAAATATTCTGCATTGAAAGAACACATTATCTGGTTATACGTCGAAAAAAAAATGTATAATTCAACATTATTGATTAAAGATCTTTCATTAGTGAATATTTTTGTCAAGTATCGAAAAATCTGAATCTCAAGTACAAATCAATATATATTATGCCGGGTGTCCCAAAATATTTGCGATATTTTTTATTTTGCATATATCTTAGCACAGAAAAATAATAAAATCTTCAATTTTCTTTTCAAAGATGCGCATTCAAGTCTCTACAAACTTCTATTTACCTCAATTTAAAATAACAGAACTGAACATTTTTATAGGTCACATAGTGTGATTGAAGTCTGGAACTTCGAGAAAGGTTTTTTCATCGCGTAACGATGTTACATAAAAAGACTCGAAATTCGGAGTGCTCTTGCTAAAGTTCTAATTTCCTCTGAAAGTCGTTCTCCAAATGAAATGCCCCTAGAGCAAATTTTATAGAACATCGAACGAGCTTTTCAGCGGTAATTCAAAATTTTCTTCTAACTATTCTTACCCGTGTAAAAAAAGAAAGAAACGTTGCTACACATATTTTTGTCACATTATTTTAGGGCACTCAACGTTCTTCAAACAATGTCATACTTATAACTTGAGTACTTCTAGCCTTCCTGAAGATACTCCACTTTTAAACAAAGTTCCAAAAAATGTCTCAGGCTTTTAAATCGAGTCGGAAGTTCAAACTTGTAAGCAGCCCTTGTGCTGAGAAATATTTCTCAAACAAAACAAGCCATTTTGTAAAGAATTGAATTCTCTATTCGACAGTATATTTTTAAAATTACTTTACGAAGATCTTTAGGCCAGAAAATTAAAATTAAAGTTTTCAAAAGTTTTAAATTTAAATTTTTTAATTGAAAATTCAGTTTTTTTCAAAACTACGCTGCGTGTATAAAGACGAATACAATACATAACAATTTTGTTGCGTGATTGGCCCTTAATTCGATTAAATTCCTTATTGATACGAGCCAATGTTTGTTTCGTACAAGGTTCCGTCTCTCCTATTTTGATTAAACCTTCGCGAGCCGCTTCTGCTACATCCCATTCGTTTCCTTGTAGACGTCTGCCTTCTCCTAAAAATTGATCGCGCCACTTTTGAATCATTCGACAACCAACATAGTTCCCTTTGACAAACGTTTTACTTTGAATAGAGAAAATAACGAGTTCGGGTACGATTAGCCTTTCTTGGTCTAACTGTTCAACACGTGACGGATTTTGAAGAGAGGACGCAGATGTTGTAAAAAATTCAACTATGAGTTAAGATCAAGAAAGGAAGAAAAAATAGTTTATTATTTCTTCACACACATGAATGACTGACTCATCATAATGTTGTGAAATATCTACATAGAGGACACTCATGACTGTTTTGCATGAACTAAAGTCTTTCATACCCAAGTCGACGCGTACGATCGATGTATGCGTGTCGCCACGGTACGTATTCTCTACTAGCTGTACGTAATATAAGACAAGTTGACCCGGGAGCATCAACATCAATCATCATCATTTGTCGAAAAGACAAACAACTGTTAAAGATATTGTTTATGACATGACAAAAAAGCAAAGAAAAAGAGTCGAAAAAAAACGAGTATTCAATAATCGTTGAAAATAATTGAGCACATAGAACGTAGACGGGGACTATATTCTACGCATATTTTTCTGCATGCGTAGATATCGATGAATATTGTTCTCTTTTCTGGCGTTTTCTTCGATTTTTCCGAAAGGAGAAAATCTGATATATGTACACAATTAAAGCCTTGCCTTTTTCGATTGTCAATTAATTACAAGAGCCAAGATACAGCTGAACTATGTTCTATATGAAACCTATGCAAGAACAATTTTATACGAAAAAGTCAGATAATCTTCAATTCTCTCGCATATGAAAGCAGTGATTCTGTAATTCTGTGTATAAATCTCAAATATAAACACAACTGGGAGTACCTACTTGGTAAAAAAAATAAAGCGGTTGCTTTTTTTCATGTCCGATACTTAGGGGACGGCTTATCTGCTCCCAGTTCGACAAGTTTTGAAAATTTTGGTTCCGATTCCGTGGTTCCGGAACTTTTTAAATTTTTCCGAAAAATTGTTTGCTAAATGAAAACTATGTGAAAAATATGACATGGTTTATCATAGTTTACTTTCTCTATTATTGTAGCACAGTGGAGCAACAACGTGGAAATTAGGTGAAAAAATGAAAGTTAGATTTTTGAAATTTGAATAGCAAGTCATATACTTCAGCAAACACTCTATCTCTTTGCCATTGGAACTTTTTTCTAAGGGTCAAGCTTAGTGGGAAAATCACTAAGAAAGACTGGATCGAAAAGTATGGTGCTTTTGGAAAACTGGATCATGTGCAAAACCAAAGTAAGCTTGTAGAAAAATAACCACATATTTGTAATAAGTGGTAAATTCTCTATCGATTGCTAAAAAGCCCTCTTAATTTTAGACTTTCTAAGCCGAAAGAAAAGGATATAACATTTTTCTGGAGAGTTATCCGAAGAGGGGAGTTCAGTAAAATACGTGCCCCAGTCACATCCAAGCTCCAATTTTGATGAAACTTTCTCCGAATGTTCTTCTACATATTAGCTGTTAACAGTGTTAGCACAAATTAGCACAAACACTCCTTTGTCAAATTATAGGTTTTCCCAAAACCTTCGGTTTCTAGGTAAAATCCATTTTTCTCAGTTCGGAAAAATTTTGATTTGTACTAATGTGATATTTGGAATCAGCATAAAAACACTGCATAAAATGATGTTTGAAACATTTTTTTACAGAAAGTTTTCGATTAAACTGAATTGTAGCGTAGAAGCATGACTGCAGCAAATTTTGCATGGGTATTTGGATGCTCGCTTTAGCAGCGGACGAAAGTCAATAACATCGACATGGGCAACCAAATTGGTTTTTCGGCAGCTTAAGCTTCTTCTACTGCTCAATTTCCCCCATTCTTATAGTTAGATCCTTTCTTGTGAGATTAAGGTCGATTTTTGTGCATGACTGGAAGCAGAAATGGCATTTAAGATGAGAAAGAGAAAACATTCGAAGAGATTAATTAGCAAAACTGTTAGTAGCATTTTAAAAATAACGCTAGCCGATTATCTCTAGGATGGAAGGAAAAACGTTATACATGTATCACGTGGTCAGACAGCCATGAAGAGACAAAAGACTAACTTTTATCGATTACTTAGCCACTTGGAAAAGGAAAAATCTGTTTTTTTTTGTGCAGAAGACTTTTTGACCATGTGATACATGCATAACGTTTTTCCTTCCATTCTATTCCTTCTGAGGAGAAATAGGAAACAGTCGAAGAGCTTAGCCGAAGTAATTACCCGTCGCGTTTCAGATCTGGTTTCCACTACTTCCAGAAAAGTCTTTAGCGATTCCTTATTTTGATTATAGTTTTATCTTTAATTTAGAGTAGAATTTAAGAGATTTTGAGTTTTAGTTACGAGGAAGTGCTTGGCGAGCTTCTGAATATCAGTGTGACTCAGACTTTAAGATTATTACTAGATAATCAAAACTTCTACTTCAGGTATCACCCAGAACTGCAGAACATCTTATTTTGATCCAAAATATTTTACCCTTTCGCGTCGAACATTCTTTGTACTTCTTAGAGTTTATTAGAATAAGTCATTTTGGAATAAATCCGTGTTTGAGCACTTTTGGAAACTTTTAGATTAGTCATGTATTGGGGGGATAGTGCACCTTCTATTGATTTGTGTGAAATGCATGATGAGTTATCAGCAGATAGGGATTATTTGGTTGAGGGTGATCAGTGCGTTTTAAATATTAATTTCGCAGAGATGGGTATGTACCTGTACTTTTCCCTTTGTTTAATAATGATTTATGTATTTCGTCTTTAATACAGACGACAGAAAAACGTCATCGTCTTCGAATTGCGTAAGTGATTGTGATCATATGGACGCAGATTATTCGAGCCGTTTCGACGAGCACGTTTTCGTACTATGTGTTGGATAACGAATATAAACCGGTAGCAGAAGAAATTTTGAATATTATTCAAGAGATTCCTTAAAGTTTCGAATGGGACGACGCTCAAGATGGTATTTCATCAAATATTTTGCCAACATGCCGTTTACTCTCACTGTTGACGACATATGTGGGTGATACACTGATATTAGAAGAAGAGACAAGAGCTGATGCTGATATTATTTCTATGCAAGATGGTAAGTTCACTCTCTTACCTTTATTCTCTCTTTGTATTTTATTATTCTGTTCAGATGAAATGATATAGTTTTTATGGAGGAACAAGGCGAAGGTTTGCTCGTATGCCTTAACACAACGTGTTCTTAAAGTTTTTCTCTGTTAGATAATGACATAATGATTGTAGAAAATGCAGAGGGTAAGTGTCTATTTATCGTTAAGTTGTTTTCTCACATGCATCTATCGTTTAGATGATGACGTTGTATTAACTGAATGGAAGTGTGCTGGCGGCGATGATGATGATATAATTTTTCTGGAATACAAACCAGCATCTAAACGTGCAGACATTTGAAAGGAAATGTATCTTCGGTGTAGTAGTTTGTAGTGGTAGTAGTAAATTATAAATAATGTAACCTGTCTACAGTTTTCCACACCTATTGGAATTAGATTTACCATCTTAATAAAATGACGTGGTCCTCACAGATCGGTAATGAACTTACACAGCTCATTTGTTTTCTATTTGTGTGTGAACAGAAGGTGGCTTTTCTAATCAAAAGTGGTAGAATGCGACTCTTCATCGACAAATTCCTCTTTACATGTACTTCTGTACATATTCCAAAAACGTAGCTTTGTAGAATAAATAACTGATAAACACCTGATGTTTCTGTTCAAGTGGAAGAACTTTTCCATACTTTTTAAATTTTATTTTTGGATTTAACCAACGTTATTCCAAATGTGCAGTCATCGTCGTTCTCCAATGTTTGTCTATGTTCTTCAATATCGAGGATTAATAAAAACGTTGATCAGAATAGAACTTTCATGGCAGGAAGCTTTCCAATTATGTGACAAAAACTGGGCTAGCTTAAGTGAAGAGAAGCGACAACCGTTTAGAGACCAGTCAAAAGGATGGCTGGCATGGTGCAACTCGTTAGCGCATAAACCTGTCAATCCGTCGTGCTCTACAATTGCTTGTTGGGTAAAAACTGCCTACAAAGATGTATAATCAACAATTAGCGAAGATTCGTGGCCGCATTGACTAATCTTTGATTTTGGCTTTTGTCCTGTATTGTCTATTGATTTTTCAATAAAAGTAATCAAACACAGAAAAAAAGCATGACCACTTAAGAATGGCAAGCTTTGCACTGAGTTATTCATGCAGCTTCCATCTTTTTCGTTCTTTTCTAACACAACTCAAGAACAGAAAAAACGAAAACAAAATGACCACAGCTGCTGCTGTTTTTTATCACTCCTCTTAACATGTATAGGTTAAGAAAAATATGTGACATTCATGTTACAGTTGAGTAGGTCTGCCTACACACAAAACAAAATGTTTTGCTAATATGAGATAAGAAAAGGCAAGCCCTCTGCCTACATACTTTTTTTCTACATGAACACGTTAAAACAGTCTGTTGTGTAAAGAAAAACGCCTTGACTCATAGTGATCCATCATTAATCAATAATATTTATTTACTGCTTTAAAAATAAGAAACGTCTATTAACGTTGTAATAAAATAAAATATACGATTTTTAAGCCTATCCATTAACGATCGAAAAACAAGCTGACGAAATATATCTCCTTTTTCTTCCAAAAAGCCTTACGAGTGAGTTTCGAAGAATTTGGTATAGAGGCGATGTTGAACCATTTTTAACAGCTTTCTATAATGTTCACATGATTGCTGTAGAGTTCGGTGGACTGAATATAACCTAAAAATATGAGCTCTTACTTCTTTATACTAATTTAAATATAAAGATTTCATGGCTAGCTTCAGCAGCAGTAAGACCCTAAGAGATTAAAATCGAAAATTACATTTTATTTTTTCCTAAATGATTCTCTTAACTGGTGACTGTAGGGAATAAATACTGGAATGAAATTTAAATATAAATATATAATGAAAAAAAGTATTTTTACATCCGGAAACCAAAATCTAGTCAGTTTTAAATTTCGAACTTTTAACATCTAGCCTACATATCAACCACTCTGAAGGAGTAACAGGACAAATAATGTCGACTCAAGTTTTTGGTACCTAGATCCTTCCTATCCTTAAGACGCGCTTACCGCAGGAAGTATAAGAACTCAGATTCTCATAATTTAACCTTTACTAACAAGTTGTCCTTTACTAACTGTGTAAGTTACGTTCACTGAGTTCTACAAGATGCAAACCCCATTATGAATTTGCTGAAATATTTCACGACCAGATCTAAATCTCTTCCTCAGAAACTTACTCTCAAACCATTTTCTTACTGATTTTTCAGTCATGCGTATTCCAGTTATTATCCTCCTCCTCCTCCTGGTTTTCATCACTAACAGTGATTGTGGAATAATCCGTCAAGTTATTGCATTTGGCGATTCTTTCTTGGATACTGGCAATGTTTTTAACTACATTTCCAATCGAACATATCCACAATCACCTCCATATTTTCATGGAACATATTCGAATGGACCAAACTCTATCTCACAAGTTGTCACGAAAGTCAAACGTCGACAAAAACAAGTTCAATTTAAAAATTATGCTTATGGTGGTGCGACAACTGATAATCAATTGGTACAAGGTTTCACAATTTATAAAAACACGCCAGTTCCGGGCGCCTTACAGCAAATCAAACTCTTCCATCAAAATAAAACTGGCAAACAAATACCACAAAAACAAAGATTATATTTCTTATCAGCTGGTGGAAATAATTTCTTTTATAATAATTCAATCTCATACCAAGCTATTACAGAAAGTTTGTTAAAATGTGTTCAATTGCTTTTATCTTATGGTGCTCAACATGTTTTTGTTTTCAATTTTCCACCATATCAATATTCACCTATTATAACACAAAGTGGCAATTTATCACTTCAACAATATGTCGGAAATTTTATTATTAGAAGTAAGCTTTAAAGCATTGTTTTATCAATTTGATGATGTGGTTGGATGGTCAGAGTTATGTCGCCTATAGATTCAACAGTCAGTTTTTGATAGTTTCGAATATATCGGCCGGTAAGCTACTGCAGTGAACGACTTCTGACGTTGTCGCTTTGTTTGCCAATGTCACCCACTCAAACATTTTCAAGAAACATAACTGTCATATTCGTAATCTTCAGCAAATTTTGGATTAGATAAGGTACCACTTCAAGTACTTCGCAACAGAAAAGTTTTGTATCCCTATGATGGTAGTGTAGCCCAGTTACCAAAAAGCAATTTCTCGAGTACGCTCATATGGCACTCATTCGACGCAGAAAGTGGCGCTGATTACAAATCGGAGATTACTTTTATTGAAAATCTATGGCCAATTAGCAAATCGCAAATAAAGACCAAAGTCTGGTGCCAGAGATAGTCTTGGATCCAGTTATCTTGTCCAATATCGAAACAAAGATGCTTTTAAATAGGCTCTTACTACTCTTTATTTGATTCCAAATTCGAACGTTGAATACGAATATGAAATTTACCTTTTCTTGAAGTATTTGGGTAGGTAATGAAATCGTGAAATAGGTAAAAAACTAGGTATAAATATTAACAAATCGACATTGTTTCTGTCTGACGTATTTCTTGGCGGATCTACGAACAGTTTCTGGTAGAATACACTTCGCGAAGTATAGTCAGCTGGTTGGCCACGGCTCGTTGGGTTGTCGCATGGAGAAATATATCAATATTTATCACTGAATGATGATCTAACCAGCTGACTAGTCAGCCGGATCTGAAATATATTTCTTTTTGCAGATAGTTCAGTCTTCTATCTATCTTTGTCGAAAGGTCATGAAACGCTCAAATGGCCTTTGCAAACGAGCTAACTTGTACAGGATTCCATTGGAAGTACTACTTATCCTCATTCTTGCAGGTAATCAACTACTCTTAAATGCGACCCAAAAGCTAAATGGTCGTGCTACGGTCATTAACATTTGGACTACGGTAAATAATCTTATTACGAAACCAGATTCACACGGTTTGAAAAACAACAGAACGGCTTGTTTAAATACAACTTCACTTGTTGTATGTGCAAATCCAAACCAACACGTTTTTTGGGACGAACAACATTATACGACAGCGACTCACAAGGTTATCGCACAAAAAGTCTATGCTCAATTGAAACAAAAAATTAAATGGTTATAAACAGAGCATTGTGCAAAAAAGAACTCTCAGTTGTCTTAAATCTCAATTTTTTTCCGATCTTTCGAAAACAGATTATTACCAGTTTTGGCTGAAACATAGAGATCGTAAATATTCCATGCGCATCTTTTCGTAACCCGTTTGTTTTGCCTGTAAACTATCAACTTTGTGTTATTTGCTAACAAAATAAATCTTTTTTTATTATTCAGATAGCAGAAGGAAATATCATGTTACATAATCTTCTGTATACCTAGTCAGTATTCCCATAGTTAAATAGGGAATTTACGCATACTACCAAAAGTTCAATGTTCAACTGTTTAAAACTTGGAAAGAATTATTTGAAAGAAATGATTCAATGAGTATAAAGAAGAAACAATCTCTTGTGTGTGTTTTTGTGAGATATTGAGGGTACAATACGGACTTCTGTTAGATGATTTGCATATCTTCTTCGATGAAAGTATTTAAGTAGTAGACCCTTTGGGTATGCTATCAAAAATGAAAAACCCTTAAAAGGTATTTTAGAATATAAAATATCCTCTTGGTATTTTAATTTGCTTGTTAAACGGTACACTACAAAACCTAGTGGTTTAGCAGCTGCAGGAAAACTTAATTTCGTTTTCTATATTTCATAGGGAACCAAAATGGGTTTTGTACGCAAAACGCTATACCCTTTTGGT